CCCTGCTCATGCCTACCTCATTTCTAACAGGAAGACCTCCTATCTTGCTTGAAATCCATGGATCATGCCAAATGTTAATGAATTTCCCTTGCCTCACCTCTACCCTAAAACAGTCCTGGAATTTGTTCTTCACCTCCATCCAATTACTCCAAAGCCAGGAATGGTTGTATGGTTTCTTAGCTTGTAAAATGGAGCAGTTATGAAAGTATTTACCTTTTAGCACTTTGGTCATGAGAAGGTTTGGATGAGTAGCAACTCTCCATATTTGTTTGAGTATGAGGGATTCATTAAACAGCTCCACATCCCTAAATCCCAGACCTCCAACTGATTTAGGCAGAGTCATCAGAGACCATTTCTTCCAGTGAATTCCCTTCTGCAAATTCCCCTTTCCCCACCAAAAACCGGCTGTTAACCTGGCTATCTCCTGGCAGACTCCTTTTGGGAGACAGAAACAAGACATAGAGAACACAGGAAGTGCCCCTATTACAGCTTTCACCAGAATCTCTTTGCCAGCATTGGAGAGGAATTGATTTTTCCAGTTCACCATTTTATCTCTCACTGCCTTCAGGATATAGTCAAAGGACTCTTTTTTAGATCTACCAATACCTAATGGCAATCCTAAATATCTGGTAGATCTATGAGGCTGTATTTCTCCCAACATATGGCATATGATAGATCTTTGAGCAGGTTGACAATTCCTACTAAAAAAGATGGAAGATTTCCCCATATTAACCTTTTGACCAGTGAATTTGTAGTATTTGAGCAGCAGAGACATAAGGATTGAGGCATGGGAATCATTTGCTTCACACATTATTAAGGTGTCATCTGCAAACATCAAGTGAGATACAGCAGGACTATGCTTGGATATTTTCAATCCCTTAAAAGCTCCTCTCAGTTCCTCATTTTTGATAAGTCTAGAGAGAACCTCAGAAATGATAATGAAAATATAAGGTGAGATAGGATCACCTTGTCTGATGCCCCTTGATGCAGAAATGTAGCCTTTCATATCTCCATTTATGTTGAAAGAGAAAGAAGTAGAGGAGATGCAGGCCCAAATCCAGTTGACAAATGTAGGGTGAAAACCCATTTTAAGCATAACCTTCTTGACACTTTCCCACTCAATACGGTCAAAAGCCTTTTCCATGTCAAGTTTCAAGAGCATATAACATTTCCTTCCTGAGGTGTGCCTGTTAAGGAAGTGGACACTTTCTTGGGCAACAACAACATTATCCAATAGCTGCCTTCCTGGGATGAATGCAGCCTGATTCTCACTGATGCAGGAAGAGAGGCAGGGCTTAATTCTGAGAGATAATATTTTGGCAATAACTCTGTAAGCCACTGCACTTAAGCTGATGGGTCTGTATTGCTTCAAGGTGGCAGGATTCATGCACTTTGGAATTAGTGAGATAACAGTGTGGTTCCAATTCCTGAGGAGTTTGCCAGACTCAAAGAAGCTGAAAACGGCTTTACAGAAATCATCACATATCACACTCCAGAATTTTTGGAAAAATAGTGGACTCATTCCATCTTGTCCTGGTGCCTTACCTGGATCAAAACTGAAGAGGGCTTCTTTGATTTCCTCCTTGGTGACTGGTTCAATGAGTGCAGTGTTCATATCAGCAGTGATTGTTTGGGGAATGAGTTGCAAGATTTCAGAATCTCCTGATGAGCCTTCAGAACAAAACAACTGCTCATAGTACTTGCAGATATGGAGTTGAATATCCTCTTCATTTGAGTACACCTGATTCTGATCATCCACCAAGTAAGATATTCCATTCATCTTTCTTCTTTGCATTGTGATAGCATGAAAGTACTTGGTGTTGGAATCTCCTTCTTTGAGCCATTGGGATCTGGCCTTTTGTGCCCAAAATATTTCTTCAGCTCTAGTGATTTTGTGCAATTCTCCTACCAATCTTTGCCATTCTGCCCAATCTCTGTGATTTCCCAGTGTACTCATCTCTTCAAGCCTTTGAGTAAGAAGCTGCTTTTCTCTGATTTTATCCCTTCTAAAAGAAGAACTCCATTTCAGAAGGGCTACTCTAACAGCTTTAATCTTTTCAGAGAATTGAAACATTGGAGTGCCAGATTGTTCCAAGGACCAGCTTTGTTGCACAGCTTCTTGAATTCCCTCCCTCTTCAGCCATCTTTTGTCAAAGAAGAATCTTTTGCCTTTAGCTTTGCTGTTTTGGTGGTTGTCAGATAAAAGAAGAAGTCTATGGTCAGAGGCACTCTTGAAGAAATTCTCCACCATTGAGTGCTGATGATCCTCAAGCCAGTCAAAAGATGCAAAAATTTTGTCTATTTTTTCCTCTATAAATCCTTCAGCTTCCCTGTTATTTCCCCATGTGAATCTGTGGCCAAGCTGGTGGATTTCCTGCATACCCATTCTAGAGATAAAAGCATTAAAATCAACAAACTCTCTCTCAGCCTTTTTCCTACCCCCACTCTTCTCACTATGATCACAAATCTCATTCCAATCCCCTCCCAAAAGCCATCTTCTACCCCAACTACTGCTAGCACTCTCAAGAAATTGCCATTGCAAGCATCTCTCCCTCTTACAAGTACTAGTATACAAGAAAATCACCCATACATCCCCATTCCCCCCAGGATCATTAGTAAGCAATTGAATACAAAAAGAGTTACTCAAAATCTGCTTAATAACAATATTTCTATCCCACAGAACAAGCAGTCCCCCACTAAGACCTTGGGGTTCCACTGCAAACCACCTCTCTCTAAAGCCTATTTTATTACATACTGATCTAATAAAATTATTTGATTTTTTTGTTTCTGAAAGAAAAATAAAATCTGGGTGGTGGAGCCTTGAGGTCTCCTTAAGTTGTGAAATTGTGGAGGGTCCACCCAAACCTCTACAATTCCACATGATAAGCTTCATTGGTGAAGTGGGGGCCACTCAAGGCTGGCCACCCCCACCTCCAAAGAGCTACTCTTAGATTTCTTGTTACCTCTCAATTCAGCTTCTGATCCTTGTTCTCCAGTTTCCTCAATCACAAGGCCTCTCTTCTTTCTTCTAGGTTGTATCTCCTTTTTCTCAGGAATGGTTCTGAGAGCTCTGCTATTCTGGCTTCCAGCATCAATTGATTTTCTTGTCCATCCCTTTCTCTTTGGAGCAGTTCTTGGCCTTTGGTCATTCAGATCAGCTATGGTATGGATATGTTGTTTAGGAGTAGTGTCCATCATATCTGTTCCTGAGACTAGCATTAATCTGGGAGTCGGGTCTTGGACAAAATTTGTCTCCTCATTTGCAATGTATATTTCCTTCCCTTTGCTCAACCGACTGTCATTTGCAATGCATAGTTCCTTTCCTTTGCTAAGCTGACTACTACCCGGGACTTCACTTTCAGCAGCACTAATGTCTTTCCCCATCACTGGTTTGACTCCACTGCCTGCTGATTTGAATCCTGTATCTTCTTCTTGAGGTGTGGAATTTGTTTCTTGGCCAGGAGTTTGCTGGTCCTCTGAGTGGCTCCCCGGTGTGGTGGCAGAGTTTGATTTATACCCATAGTGACCATCAGTTGCCCTCAGCCAATCACCATATTGTCCCTCCTTTAGGCACCCCTTTGCAATATCATCATCTTTCTTGTTGCAAGCTCTCTCCAAATGGCCAATTTGACCACAGTAAAAACATGCATTCACAAGCTTCTCATACTGGAAAATAGCCCTAATCAGAGTGTCATGAAGTTGAAGGCAAGCTATTCGAGGTAAGGGTTTGGTTACATCAATTACAGCAAGCAATCTTAGAAAGCTTCCCTTTTACCCTCCAGCTTTGATCACAGACGCCGATTTGACTCGCAAGAATACTCTTCCGACCTTTAATCCTACTTCCGTACACAGCCAGTTGAGAGGAATGTTTCTCACCTGAATCCACATTTGCAATTCTGAGAATTGTTGATGTTTTTCAGTCATCCCTTCCTCCCATTCTGCTAAAATTAAATATTGATTTTCGAAGACCCAGTTGGTTCCCTTCATCACCTTGGTCTTGTCTTCAGTACACCCAAACAAGAATTGAAAAAAATTTGTTTTCAACTCTCGAACCTCCATTTGAGTTTGGAGCTGCCATATTGATCCCATAGTTCTCCTGATACCAATAAGACTTGCCCTGCGGTCCCCTATTATTTTCCCAAACAAGCTCCTTTTGCATTCTGATGCACTGATTTTAATATCATCATCCTTGAGAGTAATGATCTCGATTTCCGATTCAGAAAGTTCTATATTTTGCAATCGACTTCCCAAATCATCAGCATCATGAAAGGCGCGCGATTCGCCAGACACGTCAGATTCCATAGTTCAACCCCAACCCTAATTTTTGCAGCGAAGAATGGATAAGAACACCTTTGCCAACCTTTGATGGACTCAAGCTCTTCTCCAAGAGAATCGAAAGACTTCCCCCCAAGAGAAATTCAAGCTCTCCTCGAGAGAATATTTGCTCCCCCAAGAGAGAATTGTAACTTGCTTTTAATACACACTTTTGGGTTTATTTTTGCTCATTACTCGCATAACTGCCTCATCACTTTCTCTCTCTGACGCCGTCGGCCGTCGGCTGTCGCCCGTCGCCCGTCGACCCTCGCCCCTCGCCTCTCTTCTCGCGGCTCACGCCCCGTTGCCTCTCCTCTCCTCATTCCTCACTCCCGTCACCCCGTCGCTTCTCCTCAGTCCTCAGTCCTCACGACTCACGCCCGTCGCACTCCAAAGTTCGACACAAAAGCTTCTCCTGCTCCACGCCTCCGACTCGACCCTCTCATATTCTCGTGGTAATTGCTGCATTATCTAAAAAGGAAAAAATCGTTCATGTTATCATGTATTAGTACTGTAACTGTTAGAATAGAATTAGTACTCTCTGCACTCCTACTATTCTGTAATATGATGTAATTGATGATTCTGTAAACTTGGGATTTAAGGTTTCATGTGGGTTAAATATAGTTGGATTTTACTTGTTATATACACCAGCCATATCATAATCAAATAACGAGTTAGCATTTAATATGATGTTTTCTGCCCGTAGGAGTCAGGATCTTCGTGCTTGCCATTATATATGCCCTGATGGGTTGTCCCCTTTCATATGTATTGTGGTACAGGCCTTTGTATCGTGCAATGAGGGCTGATAGTGCACTGAATTTTAGCTGGTTCTTCTCGTTCTATTTGCTTTACATTGGTTTGTGCATTCTTGCTGCAATTTCCCCCATCCAATTGTCTTCCATGGGAGATCATTAACGGGTATCCCTGCAGCTATTGATTTGTTCTCTGACCATGTTTTGGTTGGGATCTTTTACCTGGTTGGATTCGCGTTATTTTGCTTAGAGACACTGTTGAGCTTATGGGTACTTCAGAAAGTATAGCATATGCATATTTCAGGGGAAACAAGTGATTTGATTAAGGTGCTTAGGTATATAAATTTTTAAATCCATCTATTCGTCTTTCTACTTTATGAAACGGTTGTTTGCAGATTCTACTATGATATTTTTGGATTGGTTGTAAAAGCTGCATTTCGTGTTGGATATATTGATTCGTAGTAGATTGCATAGATGATCCACCTTTTCCCTCTTAATTAGGGCTAATTTTTATTAATTGTCCCAAAATGTTGCTGCCAGGTTAAATAAGAAGTGGGTTGAAGAAGACAGAATCACTGAACAAGACAGAGAATCCAAATGTCTCAAGTATATCTTTTTTCGGAACTGTGTATTTATCTATTCTCTTAATGTTGTTACTTAATCTCTCTTTGCTCTTAATGTTGTTGAGGTACCTCCCATATCCCCTGGATACCCATTGGCTGCACTTGATATGGTTCTACAAAATAAGGCAGTATTTGGAATGAAGATGAACGACCTGCATACCAATGATCCGACTTATCCAGATTACGTCCTGCTTAGTTACCCTCATGAATTCTCAATTCACGGCGTACGGGATCCCACAAAATCCGGTAACCAGCTCAACTATGGGATCTCTGGGATCCCTCATTGGCGTCAAGTGGCGGACTTTAGGAAGGAGGTGCAAAAAGGGGGTCCCGCATTCGTGGCGAAGCTGAAACTCTATTGGCCAGATCTGAGGCCGCCACGCAGGAGGAACCCGTGGTCCTTTTGGAAGAATCAGTACGACAAACATATTGCTCATCCACAGACTGGCCTTGAGGTCCTTGATTTTTTCAGACTGGCCGTCCGCATGTTCGAACAACTTGAAACTCCATGTAAGTTGTAATTATATTATATTGTTTTTCTTTTTCCATTTTTCTTTGGTATTTATGTAGTTGTTTGTTAGTTTGTTTTGACATTTTTCTTTTTTCTTCTAGATCTCGCCATACCGCGAGGCATCTCGTTAGATGTGTCTGATTTTCTTAACGGTTACTTGAACCCGGCTGGACACCCGCCTGGACTTTATCGAAAGGTTTTTGTGCCCGTTGGTGATTTCTCATGTGCGGGGGTGCATGAAAAAATTGGGTCTCCGTACCTCAAGAAAATGACACTTTGGGAAGATTCGAATGCACCGCAAGCACCGGTGGTTTACCTCTTTGAAGTTTATGTGAGTATAGATACCTTGATCCATGCGGGGGATCCAATCCGTCTCATTGACCAGATCCCAGTCATCACTCAAATCCCAGTCATCAATGGATTTCCCTCCAGTAGTTTCATTTTTTGATCCAGTCATCACTGTTTATCCGTAACAGTAGTTTTTGTTATCCATTTAGTATATGAGTGTATATCCCTGCACTAGTTTCTGTCATCACTCGGTCTTTCTTAAGCACTTTGAAATGAGTATATTCCTCTTGTCCATTTAGTTTTTTGAAGCACTTTGATTTTAGTGTATTGCTTTGTAAATGACTTTGGTTTTAGTGTATTGCTTCGAAGCACTTTGATTTTAGTGTATTGCACTTTGATTTTAGTATGTCTTTTTGATTTGAAGCCGTTTGATCCATTTAGTAAATGACTGTCTTTTTTAAGCACGGTATATTCTTTTCGGTCTCGGTTATTTTTTGCACGTTTCGGTTTCGGTTTTGGTTCCCGGTTCCTTTCCAAGTATATGTGCAGTAATCTAGGAACCAACTATATATGTGAAATATCCATGTTTTATATGCTTATATGTATGAATCGGTTCCGGTTCTTGATATGTAATATTCGGTTCCTTACTAAACCGAGATATGGTCCAAGACCGAATGGAGACAATGTGACAACAAGAAATTGTTATAGTTGTTGTTATGTGAATATCTTGGTGCACACAAACAACTGGTAGGTTCAAAACATCATTCTACTATTAACTGGTTAGTGTATCCGATAATATTTCACCAAGGATTCAATGTTAGAAGCTATCTATATCTATTATGATGAAATAACGATTTACTAGAAGTCTCAAGCATTTCATACATGCATTAATTTCAACACAATTCTTGGGTGAGACAACCTAACTATTATGTGGGTCGACCCACAATACCCCATTAAAAAAAAATGTGTATTTATACTATCAAATGTCACACTTTGTAATGTATGCATATTTGTAAGAATATTATGTCGACCTAATAATTAGACCGGCCTAACACACGACCTACCATAAGTTCAATTATTTGTAAGATTGTAGGAAAAATTGATTTTGTACCAATTTTTCGGTTCTATTTTTGTAAATGGAATAGTTATAAAATTCGCTAAATCATTTTGAAGTGAATGGAAAATTATTTCTAAGTTATATATATGTGTGTGTGTGTGTGTGCAAATGCAAGTTTAAAGCTGAAAATTGAGTTAAGTAACTCAAAGATTGCTAGATTCCCAAGCTTTTGATTATTGGCGAATGCTGGGGCTAGCCAAATGAACGATAATCATGCACCAGGCATGCTAGAATCGAATAAAGTATGTTGGGGATGAGTATACTCAATCAACCACTTTTTAGAGCCTCAATGCACGCTTGGCTGCATAACGACCTCGGTGGTTTGCGATGTCTGCTCCTAGCTGCCACCATTTTCACCAAATGCTTGTATATTTAAAGTGTTGCTCTGTACAAGTCCAAAGTCGTATCTTGAAGACATTTGTTGTTAACCGTGAGTATATAATGAAACAGTTTTATCTTAAGAAGAATGTAAAGGCTTTAATTTTTGTTTTTGTTTTCTTCATTTCCCATAAGCCCATTTTAGTACTACTAACATACCATATAATAACAACATCTTTGTCTAATCTCTCCCTGTATATTAATTCAAAACGTGTTAAGCCTAAGTGGCAGACTCGCACACTTCAGATGCTGACATGACGAAAATCCATGCTTCGTAATATTTTTTGTATATTTATTTTTGCTATGGAATTAGGTTTGGTATTAGACATAAATAACTTTTGTCAAACTAGGTAAGAATTTTGTTAGTTTTTTCTCTTAGTACACATTTCCTTCTTAGTTTAGGCAATTAGCAATTTTTCCATATTTCTTTCCTAAATTATGATTTACAAATCAGTTGTCTATTTCTCTTTTTTTTCATCAATTAGTCCATCAAAATTTTTAAAGAAAATTTTTATTTCGGCAATAACTTTTATCAAATAAAAGAGGGGCGGTGTTTAGCAATTCACGTTTCCTTTTTTGTTTTCCATTTTTGTATTTTCCATTTAAATACAATTGATGTGGGCTTTTGATTGCGGCCGTGCACTATCGCGGCCAACCGACAGTTGCAGTCGTGCACAGTTGCGGCCAACCAGCAATTGCGGCCGATTGGCGATTACATTCGTGCACGGTTTCGCTGACCGATTGTTGGGAGATTTTTTTTCTTTTACTTTTTACTTATGCAACGATGAGATTGAGCTCGTTCAGGGCGGTGAAATTGCCGACACAACAGTGAGTAACGTTCGTCGCCTTAAGAACCGTCAACACATAGTTCCATATACCCATTTTTCTTCAACTGTGAATGGAGCTTTGAATATCTCAGGCAAATGAAAAAAGAAAAAACCCTAGACTCGACACGGCGAGATGTGTCTACAAACGGCGTGTCGCGGAATCTCCAATGAACAGAGTAGAGATAGCAGATGATGCATTCACTCCGGATAAGAACCAACCAATTAATTAATAAATGTAATTCAACTAGGTCTCATAAGTTAATGGGCGATTGAAACTTGGATGGTCCTTGAGTGATGTGTTAGGCCATGCGGAGACTTTAATATGAAAGGCCAATTTACTCTGCCCATTTTATCACGAAGGACAAGCAGAGATGTTTGCCTCTTTAACATCCAAGTTATTAAGATGAATCTCCTCTAGGCAATTAAACTAGTGCGTAGCCCGTGCTATGCGCGGGAAAATAATATTAAATAATAATTATAAATTAAAGATAAAGGTAAATAGCATTAAATAATAATAATAATAATAAATTAAATATTTGGGATTAAAATGTGATATAATTTACGTATATTGGTTTGTTGTACAATATAAAATTATCATGTACAAAAGAACATAAAACATGTGTATTTAATGTATTAAAAATACCTAAAATAACATATGTAAAGATATCTAAAATATTCTACATTATTCTTAAAAAATGTTAAGTCACTTAAACTTCCACTAAACTATTTTGTAAAGACAAAATGTCTAAAAGCACCTAAAGATATAAACTTTAATGTATAGAATTGGCAAAAAAAAAAAAAAAATCTAATTCGGATCTAAAATATTATGTGTGTGAGTATTGAATGTGTATAAAAAGTATCTAAAATATTATTTGAGTAAATAATAAGTATTACAAAATAATATCTCACGTTGAACATTATGAGAGAATATTTATACAGTAGATATTGTCTATATGTAATGTATCGCATGTCAAGTTATTTTGATTATGTCTTTTTTATCATATTTGTACCGATCCATCCATTAATTCTTATTTTTTTACCAATTTCACGGAAATATATTATACGAATTTGTGTATATCTCACAAATGCTAACGTATTTAGTATGAAATACATAATTTGGAGCATTTTGTTAGAAAGAATTATTATTTCTTGTATTCGAATATAATACATAAACCTATATAGAAATTTCAGAAATTTTTATTTTATTGAAAAATTTTCAAATGATGAAAAACTATAAAATAAAAATATAATTATTAAAATTAAAATGATATAAAATAATAAAGTATTAATTTAAAATGGTTGAAAATTAAAATATCAGATGTGTAATAATATTATTTTAATTGTTTGGTCTGTAATAATATTATTTGATATCTATTCACAATCTTATTGGCAAAAATGTAAATTTTTCTTCATAAATCTAATTAAACAAAAAATGAATAATCATTTATCTTCTTTATTCATATACTAATTAATTAGGTAATCGATTTTAATCTCGTTATCTTGCTTTATCTACCGACAAATACTCAAATTATTTCCTAATCTAACGTGTTGCCCTTATCATATCAGATATTATTATAGATTTGTTACTAAGATAAAGATGAATTTTTTTTATTTCAATCTTTGGGATTTTAGTATTTTCCAAAAAAAAAATTAAACTACAATCAAGCAAGTTTTTTTGAAATTTAAAATTTAAATATAACAAATTCCATGATTTATGGTAGCATTAAATACAGCCCCAAAAATGATTGCTCTACAATGCACAACGAGCCCATCTTCAAAGAACTTTCCAATAGCGCTCGAAAAAGTCGACGGATTCTCCAAAATCCCTTAAAAAAAAACATTCTAAAAATAGAATGTAATTAATATTCCCAGATTTTTTTGCTTACTGTTTTTAGTAAATAGTAATTCTTGTTATATATATATATATAGTAGAGAAAGATGTTGTTATTAGATGGTATGTTGGTATTACTAAAACAGGCTTATGGAAAATGAAGAAAAACACAAAAATATATTAAAGTCGTTACATTCTTCTTAAGATAAAATTGTTTTATAGAATAATCATAGTTAACAACAAATGTCCTCAAGATACGACTTTTGACTTATATAGAGCTGTACTTTAAAAATACAAGCATTGGTGAACAACCGATTTTTGTTGATTTGTAATCAACAAAAATTGACACATAAAACAGTGAGATAATAACATAACAAACATAGGAATAAACTTTGAATTGTAGGTCAACAATCGATTTCCATTTTTTTTTCCTAAAATTTCAACCTATTGTAAATTGAACCTCAAAATTGCGAAAAAAAACTTAATAAAAATGATGAGCCGAGGAACATCATGTTGAATTTTTATCGGTTTTCACATAATTTTTGGAAAATAGATGACAACTAACAAACAAACATGTCATTCAACGCCTATTTCCTTTTTTTATTTGTGTCCATTAAACAAATTTAAAAAAAAACATAAGAACAACAAAAATCGCGATTGATGTTACTCCCGCATTGGAAATTNGAAAATAGATGACAACTAACAAACAAACATGTCATTCACCGCCTATTTCCTTTTTTTATTTGTGTCCATTAAACAAATTTAAAAAAAAAACATAAGAACAACAAAAATCGCGATTGATGTTACTCCCGCATTGGAAATTCGGATATGGAAAATTTTATCAAATTTCTTTTTTTTTTTCACGCAAACAAAAAAATCAGGAGGGATAATTGGATGAAAAATTTGAAACCAGATCAAAAAGAAAAATGGCAAAGGATAGAAGGATACATATTAATTTTCGAACGATGGGCCGTCCGATTTCATAGACTTAAATAAATCCCACATCATTTGTATTTAAAAGGAAAATACAAAAATGAAAAACAAAAAAGGAAAAGTGAATTGCTAAACACCGCCCTCCCTTTTACTGCATACCACACCCCTTGGACTGTTTTGCCCCTTAAGTTTTCCAAAACACTAAGAAAAAAATAAATTGCACGGCCTACTGGCAATTGCAGCCGTGCACGGTTGCAGCCAACCGGAAATTGTGGCTCGCTGACGATTGCAGACGTGCACGGTTGCGATCGGTTTCGCCAGCCGGTCGGCGGAAGATTTATTTTTCTTTTACTTTTTACTTACACATTTATGAGATTGAGCTCGTTCGGGGCAGTGAAATTGTCGACACAATAGTGAGTAACGTTCGTCGGCTTAAGAGTCGTCAACGCATA